AAAAAAAAATCACAATCTGAAATTAACTACTCCACCTTACTTTTCAAATTGGAATCACAAGGCAGGGTTTCATTTCCTGACATTCCAAATTCTCTTCAACATTTTAGACACTTTAAGCATCAAATCTACACAGATTGTCCCAATGTTCACAAATTCTATTCTTAAACTTCAAACTATTAATTCTATGGAATTGATGTACTTAACCATTTCCTTACATCTAAATCTTCCCCAGGGGTAAAGGAAGCCATTATTCCATCCCCAGGTTGAGGTTATCATTTCAATAGGCTGAAGTTGCCAATGAAGGGCCATGAGGGATTTGGCTGTGACAAGCATTCTAGGGCGGCAGGGATGCAGGGGAGTCATCTCTGGATATGCAGTACATTTTGAACCCTTTTATTTTATTTCCCTACTCCCCAACTCTTTTAAAAACTGAAGTACAGTCAGTTATAATGTGTCAATTTCTGGTGTACAGCACAATGTCTCAGTCATGCATATACACACATACATTCACTTTTGTATTCTTTTTCATTAAAGGTTATTAGAAGATATTGAATCATTTTGAACCCTTCTAAAATTGTTGCACCAGTCTAGTGGCCTTGCAGTCCAGGTTCTCTGGTTCTCTCTTTTGACTTATATTTTCATTCCCTTTCTACTCTGCAAGCTAGACAAAATGTGGTCTATATATATAAGGAATATTATCCAGTCTTAAAAAGGAAGGAAATCAAGTCACACGGTACAGCACAGAGGAACCTTGAAGATAGCATGCCAAGTGAAATAAGCCAGTCACAGAACGATGAATACTGTATACTTTCACTTATCCAGGTTACATACAGCAGTCAAATTCATAGAGACAGAACTATACACTTAAAAATGGTTAAGATTGTTTAAAAAGAAAGGAGGAGGAGGAGAAAGAGGAGAAGATATGAGATCAGATCACATGCTGTCACCCCTGCATCACCTTCAGGGTAGACTCCAGGTGGACTGAGTGGTAGAAACACTCAGATTGGTCGGGGAGAGCGGGAGCATTTCTCCTGGCCCGGCTACAAGCCTCTTGGAGAAACCCCACTGTCACTTGGGCCCTGAGCAATAGAAAAGAATGTTTTGCAACTTGACTGGATTCTGCTGATCCGTTTATGGCCTTACTGTGTTCTGAAGCTTTCCCCTTTCTCCCTGTTTCTGCTCACCCAGGTATCTCAGAGCTTTATCTGGTTCTGTGGTCATTTAATCCAATGACACCCTAGAGGTCTTTCTATCACACAGCCTTCTCCTGTAACGTGGTGGTCAGCCTCTGGGCAGGATCTGGGAGTGGCTGCAGCCTTCTCTTCCCTCGCTTCCAGGAAAAATACCCACCAAATGCTCATTGCCTTATAGATCTCTGAGGCAGGGCCCAATTCTCCCCAGGGAGCTGGTCCCCCAACTGGATACAGCCAGCCTATGGTAGCAGTATTCTTATATGAAAGTGATTCTAATAAAAAGCTTTTTAAGATAATCAGATTTCAGATGTCTCTTAATACTACATGTAAATATAAAATTTCGTGGGTTTGTTTAGGTGGTTTTAAAACAAAATAAAATAAAAAGTTACGTGATATGCCCAAATTTTACTTTAGAGGGTCCTGGGAACCCCAAAACTCATTGGGAGACACATTTCAGAGAAGCAGAAACTCAGATATTACAGGAAGCCCAAATGGCTTCTGGTAAGGAGCAATCTACTCTGTATATTAAGATGCTGTAAACAGAGAAAGCAAGCAATGATTTCAAATCAAAACTCACCTCGAATCACAGGTGTCGATTTGCAGCTGAGCTGCTTTTCTCATGAGCACAGGCCCAGGTACAGGGCAGCCAGAGACGGATGGTTAAATAAGGCTTGGTGATTCTCCAGCACATCACTGGATTTACCTGAATTTATTTTCTGAATATATGATAGGCGTCTATATGTATGTGCATATATATGTGCACATCTTTCAAATTAAACAACTTACACAGTTCTTTTAGTTTTTGTTTATTTACAAAAATATTTAGCCGAGTTCACCAAAATTTCTGTGTGTGGGCAGCACATGTTGCAAAGTTCTCCTACTCTGGTAAAATCCAGCCTGTGGATGGGATTAATTTCATCCATCAGTATCGGCCCATGTGATGTTAAAAAACAAAACAAAACAAAACAAACAAAAAACTTAAAACATTTAGGAGTGAGAAGGTGGCACGTAAATCTCTGGATTTCTTGACAGTAGGAATACCCGGGGACATCACCAGTGCTCCCACATGGTGACAATTCTGTCCCCACTATATGAGGCTTGTACTGTCCAGCCCTTCGCAGCCCCCATGACCCCTTATTTCTACCTGGCAGTGAATTTCTGTTGCTGTTTATGACCACACTCACCCTCATATGTTTCTTATAGCAGCATTAAGAAGCAGCAGCATAATTCTATCAAAAATGGAAAAAGAAAGGACCAAGAGAGTTGCATGTTTCAAGAAATAAAAGATGGCATACTTCTATGCAGAAATAAAAGC